GGAGCCGAGGTGTTGGACTGGGAGTGCTAACATCTTACCTAGGTTTCAGAGAGCTCTCTCCAGCTGCTGTGTGGAGGACACTTGGGATGGGAAGGAGGAGAGTGGAGGCTAGGGAAGAACCCAACATGGTCAGGGGAAGCGTGGATGGTGGCTAAGAGGGCAAAGAGGAAGGAGCACATTTGAGAGCCATGACTGAGGTCAAAGCCAAATGCCTTTATGCAAATAGAAGATGGGAGGACCTGGATCAGGACCACAGAAGGGGAGCTGGGAGAGGAGCGGGGAAGGGGTTACTCTGCTCAAAGAGGAGACACCCCACCCAAGTACCTGAGCACACACCTGCACAGACAGACAGACAGGCAGCTCATGTGCATTTATGCCAAAGGATACCAGCTTTCAGCCCACGGGCCATATTTAGCTCATAGATTTTTTGTGTTTCTGGTCTGTTCACTTGTTTTTGGTGAAACAACTGCCAATATATAAAAAACTAGAGATTTCACATTTTGAACTTTGGGTTCCTGGCTTCTCTTGCAAACTGGAAGAATTTGACCACCCTAGGTCCCATTCCTTCACAGCAACACTCAGCTGGAGCTGATGATGGAGTCCTCCCTCAGGCAGACCCAGTGCTCTGCCCCACAGGCCCCACCTGGTGTGTGGAACTCCTGATCACATAGCAGAACTACTCTGTCCCCCGTGCACAGTGATGTCCTGGGGGTACATATGCCCAGGGCCCCAGGCACACAGACCCAAGTCCCTGTACTGCACAGAGACACCACCCCCCAGGTACAGAGTGGCTTACATGTCCTGGTGTGTCTACACATATAATACATGAGATTCTAGACATTTCTCTGCATTCCCATGCCTGAGTTGATTCTCTAGTGCTCTGCACTTCAGTGTGTGTGTGTGTGTGTGTGTGTATGTGCATGAGAGAGAGAGAGAGAGAGAGAGAGAGGATATGAGCAAATGAACGAAGTGAAAATGAGTGAAATGAATGAATGAATGAAATTCAAAGAGCCTCAGTGCAAGAAGGCACGTTTTTCAATCTTTCTGATCTTCCTTCCAACATGGACTTGCATCAGACACCTCCTCTTAGCACACACAGGGCCTTTCATCTGAGTACAAAGCCTGTTTCCACTTACAACCCATCTCCATCCCCACGTCCCTCTTTCCTGAGTTCCAATTTAATAAATGTTCACTGAGCACCTATACTCCCTGTCGGGCCCTATCGTGGGCACTTCACTCAGGAGTATCTTTGTATCACCCTCACCAGCCCCACAAGCAGGACATACTATTTCCACTTACAAAACATGGCCAAGATCCCATGGCATGCATGTGGGGGACAGGAGTTGAATGCAGGTTCCCCAAAAATTGTTGTAACCTAAAAGCCTGCAAACCCACACACACTTGCACCAGCGGCATCATTCCAGCCTCCCTCCCTGGCTCTTCCAGCCCTCACTAGTACTCTCTACTTTATCCCACTGTTTAACAGCAAGTGTGTGCAGCTTGAAGGCAGGGATATGTCTGGGTTCTCAGCCCCCTGCACAGGGCTTGGAACACAGCCAGCCCTCAGGGATGGCTTGGCAACCCGCCCAGGCAGGCAGTCCTTCCCACACACAGGGTGAGT